CGGGCGCGCCCGAGGGCCACTGGCCCGCCGCCGGCCTGCCGCGCCCGGGTAAGGGGCCCGAACTACGGTCCGGGGAGCTGTTGTCACGGCTGCCTGAACTGGCTTGGGGCTGAGAGAGGGAAGTGGGGGACAGGAGGAGGGGTGCATGGGGGCGCGAGAGGCAGAGGAAGGTCCATGGGGGCACGAGGGGTGGAGGAGGGTTCATGGGGGCGCGAGAGGCAGAGGAAGGGGCAAGAGGAAAGATGAATGGGGACACAAGTGCAAGATGATGAGAATTGGAGGTGAGAGATAGGAGAGGAAGGAGTCAACTGGGGACCGAGACTTGGAAGGAGCATGATTGGGAGCCCAAGAGGCAGAAGGCAGGAGGAGGGCTTAAGAGGATCCTAAACCAGAGAAGAAGAGGCCCAGGTTGGTCCAGTTTGGGAGCGGAGGAGGGGAAAGTTGGGACACTCCCGTCTGGCTGGGGAGCTAAAAGGTCTTGCCGGGCCAAGGCTGGGCCCCAGGAAGTGTTACCCTCAAAGAAAGAGTTAGCCCTTTAGGCGGCCCAGGCCTCCCCCAGGCCCTCTCTCCCTGGGAGGGGGTTGTGCATTTCCACCTACCTGCCTACCTCCCCCATGTGAGTCTAGGTGGCTACTTAGTGTGTGCCATGAGGTGTTAGGCTAATATGAGGAGTCAGCACCCACACAGTGCCACGACATAAATATCTACTTAAAAATCTGCTTTTAATCACTTTTTTTTCTCCCTGAAAGAAGCGTCTCTAAAATCTCAACACAGATTTCCTGCTTATACGGCAGACTTGCTAATGGACAGAGGTATCACATTTACCCACATTGCCAGTAAGACCTAGCCTTTTAACCTGGTACAAAAACTTCCAGAAACCTGAAAGCAAGCAATTTAATTAAGATGCTATCTAGTGCTCCAGGTTCCCACCTGCCACAAAGACACATCCTTTGGACCACAGGACAATGTCTATATACACGGAACCACAAGCATGTGTTCCTTGGGTTCTGATATCAAAGTTCAGCCAGGTGACGTGTCAGAACAAGTATCTGTGGTTTGCCCTGTATTTGTTTCCGCAGTCCCTACTCCTTGGTATGTATAGTTCCTCCAGCTTGGGGTAAGGACTTACTGAGCACGTTGCTGCTGATCAATAAATGTTGCTAGTGTGATGAAATGTTGGGGCTAACCCTTGTGTTGGACCCAGGAACCTGTGTAATCCAGGAAAAAATAAGCAATTTGGAGTCTGATTTCATGTAACTTGCATACAGCACCCTGCATGTAACAATCAGTTTCATAAAAGAGTTAACAATCAAGCCAATGTTGGGGACACAAGAAATTGGAGACAGGGGTTGTTAAAAGGCATCACAAAGTCAAGGACCAGAAAAGGACCATGAAATTGGTGCCCAGAGTTACAATATGAGGGTGCCTTTCTAATAGAGTGTTGCCTGACTCATGGGGGTGTTGCCCCTTCCCTGGAGAACTTTTGGGGAGCTGACCCCTGACAAAGGGGAACTCCCAGCAGCAGTCTAACCTCCTGTTTTTCCATCTTCCCTCCCACTTGCTACTAACTTAATCCTTCTTGCTTATACCCTTTTGCCCCAAGGGTCCCTTTACTTTTCACCGACTATAGTCTGAGACTTTGATTTGCCCAGTCTCCCTGCACCAGATGAGAATAACTGGCCAGACCCTCATTTTAGGCTCATGAAAGTGTTTGCAAGGGAAACTATTACTCTAAGCCTTGTTAATGGTCTGTCCATTGTGAGCCAACTTAGAAAGATTAGCACAGGTCTCCACATGGATTCTTGACATATAGAAAGTGCTGTTGGAAAGTGGAGGCAGGACCATACCAGAGTGATGATGTCACAGCGCAAGGGCCTGTTCTTGACTCTACACAGTGGCCAATTCCTGGTTCTATAGGAGTGATCACCGGCCGCACTGGCTGAGTGAATAAGTAATCATGGAATCCAGCAGACATCTCCTGAGATAGCTCTAGAGAGATGTTCCATGTGCACACTCATCTCATGTATGTAACTATGTGATTGTACACATACATGGCAGAGTGCATGCATGTGCAGCTGTGTGCATGCGTGTGTGCCTGTGCATGTATGCGTGTGTGGCTGTGTGTGCATGTGGGTGTCTGTGATAGGGAGTAGGCTGGTGGTGGTCCTCAGGCATCACCACCTGCTAATATCTGCCACTCTAGGAGGTGATGGGTTTCTTTAATCTTCTCCTGGGTTTACATTAGATATTCATCAATGAGAGAGTCATCTGTGCTGGTTAATATCTTTATATTACAACTGTATTCCTGAACTCCTCCAAAGTTTGCTTGGCTCCTAGAAAAATACATCTCCTGATATGTCAATCATGCAGCTTCTCTAAATTATTCATCCCTACGTGTAAAACTATCAAGTGAGATGCCTCTGTGCCTTTCTTCCTGCTAGTTCACAGTACTTAAACATCAGACATTGTTTTCTTTCATTGGAACCTTTGAGAAGCGTTTTCCAAAAGTGATACATGCTTGTTAAAAAAAAAATGATACGAGGTAGAAAATGGAAATCATCAGTCAGTTCCTTCTCCTGGGATTACCATTATTCACGTTCTGATGTAAATCTTTCCAAACCTGTCGACGAATGTTTATAAATAAAACTAGGATCGTGGTGTGGATGCTGTTCTATGACCTAGTTTTTTCACTTAATGATGCATGCTGCACCTCTTCCCATGTCAATATGTGAACGTTGGTATATTTTTCAACAGCTGCCATAGCATTTTACATATGGATGAGACCATATTTTATGTAACCATTCCAACTTTCTACTGTTATGATGGTGATGAACCATTGTAGGTCTGCATCTTTGGGCATCCATCCAATTGGTTCCTTAGAAGAAATCCCAGCAGTAGAAAATGGGACATCAGAAGTCTTGACATTGAAAATCTTGATACACATTGTCATTTTCCCAGTATTATGATCTGGTGAATGCTGTCATTTCGTGCCTCCTCCTCACTGGATTTCCACCCCTCCACTGCTTTTCCTCAAGAGTGTTTACTCTTTTTCAAACCCTAGATGCATCTGTTAGCAGAGTGGAGCATCTGCCTGCGTCCCGTATGTGCCACAAAGCGTGCCATGGCCAGGGAGTGCCCCTCAAAGCTGCCCTCGCCTCCTGCAAAGCCAGACCTCGCCCGGCAAGCACACGGTGCCAAGCCCACAGCTCTCCAAGGAAGATGGCCCAGCCTGGGGGTGCACCCTGAGCACCTGCCTCTGGTGAGTGTCCAAGGCCCTGCGGGCAAAGCCTCCTGCCCAGTGACAGGACAGTGAGCCTGGAGAGGGCCCAGAGGGGGCTTTGCATGGTCAGGGTGACAAAGGAAAGACAGTGGACATCAAAGGGCTGAGCCTTCCAGGGACCAGGAGAGCCTGGTCTGTGGCATTTCACTGTCAGAGGTTCTGCCTTCTCTGGTGGACTGGTGGCGGGGGGGAACCGTGTGGTCCTCCAGGCCCTCTTCTGTTTCTGTGAGGTTCTCTCTGGGCCTCTTGTCGTGACACTGTGAGAGCCCTTGCTGCACAGGCTGGGGTGCTGCATCTCACGGATGCAGGGGGTGGAGGGGGTGCCTCATAGCAGAAGGCGCCCCAGGGGGAGACTGACGAGAAGGTGTCCCAGGACTGGGAATGAGACGGTCTGTGTCTGCCCCAGGGAGAGGAAGAAGGAAACCCATTTGGTGCCTTGAATCAGTTCCTCCTGCCTTAGCTGGAGCATCAGCTCCGAGGTTCGCTAAAGCCCAGAGGAGGGGCTGACAGACTACGGCCTGTGGACCAAGTCCCGCCTGCTGCCCATCTCTGTAAATAAAGTTTTATCAGGACAGCCACACCCATCATGTGCCTGTGGTCCGGAGCTGTTTGTGCAGACTTGAGTAGCTGGGGCAGAGACCATCTGGCTCACAAACTCTAAAATATCTGCTATCTAGCTCTTTACAGAGCAAAGTTTGCTGACCCTGCCCTAGGGGTTTTAGTGAGGGGGCAGCGGAAGGCCCTAAGGCCTGGGGTGCATTCAGGAAGCCCCATCCCATCCCCGACCCACTGCAGACCCCGGAACCAGAGCTCAGACTCAGGGAGCACGCTGGGCTCAGTGGTGGTGGCATTTTAAATGCGTTCAGTCAACGTGACTGGCCCGAGAGAGAACATGTAAATCCATGTATTGACTGAGCGCCCAGCTGCATGAGCCTCAGCTGATGTGGGGAGCGCTCGCTCTTGGTGCCAGAACCTCCTGTTTCAGTCCTTCCCTCTCATGAGATTGGTCTGTTTCTTCTCTGCCCACCCCACCCCCACTTGCTTCTGTCAGGACAAAGAATGCCTTTTGCACTCGAGAAAACAGACGCAAATCTGTGGTCTGTAGGGCTGAGGAACCTCTGTAAGCCTGAAAGACACCATGGGCCTTATGGGCAGCGTGGGAGGAAAGGGGAGCTGAGGCTGAACTAGAGTTAGTGACTCTCGGGGAAGGATCAGAGCACTGGGGAGGCTGCCAGCCTCCAGCAGAGCTTGTGCCCAAAGGGGTTTTCCAATCTTGGGGCCACTTTACAGCAGTCCCTGCTGCTCACAGGAGGCCAACAGCCACCCCTAGATGTCCCTTTAGGCTGTGCAGGGGCTTTGGGGTTGCTCCCAGCATGCCTGGAGGTGCTCCTGGTGGGGTGGGGGTGCTGAGGCTGAGCCGGGTGCCAGGCTGGGAGCTGCTGGGATTTCACAGGTCCAGCGGAAAGGGGCTGGGAGCATCGGGGAGAGGCCGGTGGGGTCGGATTGTGAAAGCCGCCTCGGCCACGTTAAGGAGCTTTGGAGTCACCCTGGGACAGTGAGGGGTTTAAGCAGTGGAAGCAGGCTCAGCTTTGCAGGTTACAAAGACCTTTCTGGCAGCCGTGGGGTGGCAGATGGAGCAGGACCAGGATGGGAGTGCTTGAAGGTGACCCTCAGGGCTGGGAAGCCAGCAAGCCGGCCCTGGTCAGTGGGAGCCAGCCTGGTGGCAGGGCCGTGGAGGGCAGCGGTTAGTGTCCGTGCCGGGGAAGGAGCCGGTCAGGGCGGTTCATTCAGAGCCACTTGAAGGCTCCCTTCCAAGACGTCCAATGGAACTCAAGAGCTTCTCAACGAGGGCAGGTGGAAACACCGAGGGCCTCGGTGTCTTCAGGAAGGACTGATTCTGGAGGCACCTCGGAAGCCCCATCTTGTCGCCTGCCCTCAAGCTGCCAGTGTGCCTGGGGAGCTTGGTCACGGATCACGAGTGTTTAGGCTGGGTCGTTGTTCAGGGAGGGCCTGGGCCCCACAGGTGGGGCTGAGGACAGGATCAGGGCACACCCAGGACCAGCAGGGCATGAAGTGATGGGACACTTGAGGCCACCTGGCCCCACGGCTCCCCTGTGGCGAGGGCCCCCAGCCTGCCGGCATGTGGGAGACACCCAGGGTCAGTGTGGGGAGACCCCTGTGCACTTGGGAGGCCAGTTTTGGCTGGACCCAGGCCTCATCCTGGTGAGGCTCTGCTGTGGTGGCATCTCTGGAAGTTTCTGCAGTCACACTCACTCTCAGAGACAGCAGGGCTTCTGTGATCAGGTCCTCTCAGCTCGCCCTCTGTCTCACTGTGTGACCCCCTTTCTAAGTCTCTCAGCCTCCTGGGGCCTTGTCCCCTCCTGCCTGTGTCACCCCCCAGCTGCCTCCTCACTGGGCCCCTCATGCCGGCCCCCTCGCTGGAACACCTTCATGCACTTGTCACAGTTCTGCCTCGGGCCTGGAGGGGCTCCCATCCCCACCACCAAAATCCAGCTGCCCCTTGGCAGCCCGCCTCTCTCTGATTTAATCCCAGTTCTCTCTGCACTGGCTCCTGGCCCTGCTGCTGTCGTCTGCTGCTCTCTCCTGGCCTCCCCACCCCCTTCCCCACCAGGTAGACCCCATCCATCTGTCAGAATGCAGCCCAGGAACCATCCCTGGAACCCCACCTCCAACCGCCCGTCAGCTGAATTCAGTGCCTCCTCTGGGCCCCTGCAGCACCCTGTCATCTCCCACCCACCTTTGGGGCCTCCTCACAGAGGACCAGTCTCCAGCTTACCCTCAAGGCCTGCCCAGATGCCATCTCCCCCAGCTTCCCAGCACTGAGTCATGCCTCGGCTCAGCGCTTGCACTGGCTGCAGTGACCTCTTTTCTGCGTCTCCCGCTGGATGCAGGCTCCCTGGGGGAGGGAGCTGTGTAGCTTTCATCTCGTCCTAAGCGCACTGCGTGGCACATGAGCAGGCACTCGGGGAGCACTGGATGAGTGGGTGGTGGCTGGGTGCTGGGTGCTGGGTGGATGGGGGTGGATCAGGGATGACGAGGCTGGTGGGCTTAGCGGCACCTCTCCACGTGGTGGCGGGCTCAGTGGCACCTCTCCACGTGGTCAGCCGTCACAGGGTGCAGAGAAGTGCACTGGGCCTGGTTGGGTCCTTCAGGCCCCGGGAGAAGTTAAGGAGGAAGACTTGGCAGATCTCAGTGATTGGAAGGCCGTGACCTCGTGAATGCGGCCAAGTCTTGGCCCTCCCTCTGCTTCTCTTTCAAACTCTGAATTCTGGGGTGGTATAGTGAGACGCGTGGTAAAATTGGGTCAGGCACTGGGCGGATCACAGGACACGTAGCTGAGATGTGTTGGGCTGTTCTTGAGCGCTGGGTCCCGGTGGAAACACTTGGCTTGGTTTGCACCCTGGGCCCTGCGAGAGCTCTCCACATCCGGTACAGTGCTCCAGGCGAGGCCGTGTGTTACTGACCAAACGCCTTCTTGATCACAGATCCCTCGGCCAAGTAGCAGGGAACCGTTAGCAGCCTGAGGACCGGCCGGCTGGGAGCCTCGGGGACTGCCCAGCCCTGCTCCGGGCTCACCTGCAAGATGTGGACAGCCCTCGTGCTCCTTTGGATTTCCTCCTGGCCCTTATCTGAAAGTCAGGTGGTGCCCCCGCAGCCCCGTAAGTAAGAAGGCTGTGTGACTGCTGGAAAGGCCTGCAGGAGCCCTGGCGCTCCCGGGTGCAGAGCTGGGAGGGGTTGTGAGGCCAAGCTCCTCCAGGGCCACCAGGGACTCGGCCTCTGAGCCCCAAGAGGGTACTTGTTTGGCCCTGCCAAGTTTCATTTCTCCCATGAACCTAATCTTCACTGTGGAGCTTGTCCATTCATACGTCAGATATTTAATTGCACTTCTACTCAGTGCCAGGCAGTGTCCATCTCCAGGAATCCTGCTGTGAGTCCCTTCCTAAAGCCAAGAATTCTTGTATGGTGTGAATATCTGGGCAACGATTTATCTGCTTTGTAAACCTGGGTGTGTGTTTGGTGGCTTCTTTTAATGGTGAATCACACCTGTAATGTGAGACTTTGTCTGATGTTTTGGGAATTGGATCAAAGAGTGAAGCTCTTAAGCCTTCAATGGGCTTGGGGTTCAGAAAGGGCAGAGGAGTTTTTAAATCAGAGTGCCAAGTGCCTCTCTGAGGGGCCGCAGACCAGACGTGTGCAGTGAGGAGATGAGAAGGGAGCGTGTTCTCCCATCACCCCCTTTATTCTCGCTGGGCTGAGAAGAACGGCCCCACACAGCTGCCCGGGCCAGCCCCACGGGCCGCAAAGTAAGACGATCTCTGAGTAATCCACCTGCACAGGATGGAAAGTGAGCGTTTCTTTTTCTCCCTTTTCTGACTCTAAGGGCACTCAGTCCCCAACGAGACCCGGAATAATTCAGTGAAAACTTCATCCGAGGAAATGATTACAAGAGTCTTTGATAAAACGACTGAAAGAATGACTTTGGTGACATCGTCTCCCATCACATTGACCAGAGGGACTTGGGTAGGTGACCCCACCTCTGCCGTGGTCACAGCAGGGAGAACACACAGGACAGACACGGCCACTTCAGCAGCAATGAGAAAGACCCCGGACGGAGCCTCCTCCAGGCCGCCCACGCCACCCGCCCCGGCGTCACAGACCCCGACCTCCAGTGACGCCCACAGCACACCCCACACTCGGGCTCCCGGCGGCAGCATGTTGCCAAGCACATCGCCAACTTCCACAACGCCCACACCGACCACGGGTGCTCAAACCACTGCTTCAGCCTTGGCAAGTGCAAGCACGCCTCCGAGCACAGAGAGGCCTGGGCACACACCCGGCCACTCCACAGCCAGCCCTGCACCCCCGAGTCCCCAAGCACTTAATGTGTCCACACAAGGGCCCACTGTCCAGACGCCCACGGCCCAGACTGGGGCTGACCCAGGAGGTAGGCCTGCACCCACCCTCCCAAATGCAACCCCAGAGCCCACCTCCCCTTCCTTGGCTTCTGGGTCCACGACAGCGGGGGCCACCACCAAGGCGCCCAAGCCAGCTGCCAGCACAGTGCCAGCACCTGCATCTCACACCAGCCTGGCCCCCGAGGTAGAGGCCACGACCCCCACGACACGGCCAAGCCCTGCTGGAACCACGCCGGGGCCCAGGCAGCCGGGCACGACTCAGACCCCGGAGCAGGTTGAGCCAGAAACCACACCTGGTACTGCTTCCCTGGGGCTGACCCCCGGGAGCTCAGGGGACTCCAAGGTGTCAGCCACCGATGTGGGCCCGCTCAGCACACAAGGCAGGTACCTGGTGGTCTCCACCGAGCCCCTGGCCCAGTCCTTGGTGAACAAAAGTTTTCTCCTGGCGGTGCTCTTGCTCGGGGTCACACTCTTCATCACGGTCCTGGTTCTCTTCGCCCTGCAAGCCTACGAGAGCTACAGGAAGAAGGACTACACGCAGGTGGACTATCTCATCAACGGCATGTACGCCGACTCGGAGATGTGAGGCCGGGGCCGAGCCCTTCCCCTCCTTCCATTTTGCCTCTGAGACCCAACCAAGTGCTTCCAGATTCTTTTGGTGCAATTTAGGAGACGTGCCAGATGCTTAAACACATTTAATTGCTGTCAGATTAATTCCACGATCCCTAAAGAGTTGCCGCTTTTTTCATATTTATTTTTGTAACGATCGTGTCGACGAGCAGGCAGGGATTCCGCCGTGGAGTGGAGAGGGGGTGTGGGTCCTGACCTGAATTAAAGCAATGACTCTTTCTGCTCAGCCTGTGTCTCCCCATTTGTGTGGGCACAACCCCCATCGCACCCAGGGGTGCCTTTTCGAGATGCATGTCCCAGGGTGTGTTTTCATAAACGTTTACTTTAACAGGAGGTCTGCCACTTCTCTGCCACTCTCCTGGGTTCTGCTCTTAGGCCCAAACCTGCTGGACACTGGGCAGGAGGAGCTCCAGCCTTTGAGGGGCTCTGGCGCCATGTGGAGAAGGGGCCCTTTCCTCTAAGCCTCCTTTTTCTGGACTAGTAGGTGGCTAACGCGGGAGCCTGGTTTGGACACGAGAGAGCGAACACAGCCTGTAAACCACTCACGTGGGCTGCACGGCGTAGCCAGGTCACTGGGATCTGCCCGGACCAGGCTCATAGGGACCCCGCACACCTCACTTTGTGCACTGGCCTCGTGCGTGCGGTAGGACACTTATCACTAGCACCTTGCCCCAGGTCACCCTGGAACCCGGGGAAGCCCCAAGGCTGAGTGAGCCCAGGGACCCCTCCTCAGCAGGACGATTGCCCCACGTTCCAGGCCTCACATCCCCAGCAGCCCTCAAAGCTGACACCACATGCTTGTCCTGTGCCAGGCGCTATCTTTGGCGCTTAATGCACATAACTCATTCAGCCCCCCAACCCCCGACCCCAGGAGATCAGTGGTGTGACCCAACTTTAAAAGCGGGGCTGAGACACATAGGAGACTCCCACTGAGGGCCAGTGTCAGGGTTAAACCCAGTTCTGGAGTTCAGCTCTTGCTTTAACCACTGTCTTTTACAACCACCCCGCCTGAGGCTGGGTTCTCAGGCCAGGTCTGCGGCGGCGAACTGTGGGGCCTGGAACAAGTGCGGACTGTTCTGGACTCAGACTCTTCACCTGTGGAATGGGGAGACAGAATCACATGTGTCGTGGCCCTGGGGGGTGCGGTGCCTGGCCTGATTAGGGGAGGGGAGCTGACTCTTACTTCTCAACTGCTCCGAACCCCAAGGAGGAGACCGTTGTTTTCTGGAGTCCCCAGTTTCCCCACTGCAGACGTCCAGGTTCTATTTAAATTCGGCCTCCAAAAAAGGATTTCAAATGGCTTGTAATAAAAAACAAAGTAAACTCCCAAACCGGTCGAAATAACATGAGTCAAGAGTGGAGAAACATACAGAGTAGGGAGCAGAGAACAGTCCTCACCCATCTTCCAGCTCCATTTGGGGTCCCCGGCCCATCTTTTCTCACTGGTCGGCCCAGTGGGCCCAGCAGCCCCCTTTGCCTGCCCGAAAACCTCCACCTGTCTCTGAGTTGTGCTGTGCATCCTGACAGCTGGGCTTCAACCAGCCTGTGCACCTGTGTTTCTCCCTTCCCTTGCGGACCCGTCGCACACCTGAGCCCCTCTGCTGTGTGACCACAGGTGCTGGCGCTGACCGTGGCTGGGAAGGTGTCAGTCTCACTGATCTGAGCTCCAGGCCAGCCTGCAGCTCTGTCCTGGAGTCTGAGAAGCCACCTGCTGCCAGGCAGCTCTGCACATCAGGGCAGAGAATTTGGAGGCTTTAAGGAATGCCTTTCCTCTGCCTGCATCACCCCAACGACCTGTCAAAGACGGGCTCCCCAACAGAGGCAGAGCCCAGGCCCACGTGAGCTACAGCACACTGAGTGCCTTGTTCCTTTCCAGGGACATAGGACAAGGGGCAACCCACAGGGCTGGCTTTCATCCTTAGCCTGTGACCAGGGGCCTCTGCCTGGCACCCCTACCTCCAAGGAATGAGGGCAGGGTGTCACAGGGCCTGCCTGTCGCTCTGCGTCAGACAGGACTCCAAGTCCTTTCGTCCCTAGGATTGGTTGTGCCCTCCCTCCCTCCTTGAGGGTCCTGTTCCAACCATCCACTGTAATTTTGTCTCCATTGGGGGCCACAGATTTGTGACATGCAAGGCCAAGCTCAGCATGGGCCCCTGGGAATGTGTTTGGTCCTCGGGGTTCTTCCTAAAACCAAAGGCATCGCTGCTTCTCTAAGCCAGAAATTGGTGCATCATCCTTGAGTCCAACTGACCATCCTAACTATTCCTATTAGTGGGCCTCCCCCCAGCGTGGACCCCCTTCCCCGCCACCCTGCCTGGGGTCCTGCCACCAACTGTGAGTTCCAGCCCAGCTGTGCTCCACCCTGCAGCCAGGGCCCCTCGAATTCAAACATGACCACAGCTTTCCCTGCCAACGGCCAGTCCGAGGATAAAGAACAAACTGCTCCTCCCAGTGTTCTAGGCCAGGGCAAACCTTTTAGAGGATCCTGGCTGAGCAGAGCTGGAGGGAAGGAGCCAGTCTCAAGAAACTCGCAGGAGTTGGAGACCACGGAGGGCCCCTCCCAGCAGGCCTGGGCGAGTCTAGGAGGGCGACATGTCTGAGCCCCAGGCCCTCCCGGCCTTGGAGGCCACCAGGCCACAGGGGGCCAGGCGGGTGGGCCCCAGCTCAGCAGGCCCATTCAGCGCCCGCTGACTGTCAACCAACTGGGGATTCAGAGATGAAGCTGCCCCCCAACAGCTCACTGGGTGTGGGTGAGAGCAAGAAGCAATGAGGAAGTGAGAGGGTGCACAGGGGAAGAACCTGACCTGCTGGGATGCTCAGGCGAGGCTGCGGCAGAGGGGACTCAGCCTCCTTCTCCAGCGGCAGGGGCTGTGGCAGGTTCAGTGCCCAGAGCGACACCAGCACGCAGGAGGGGCAGGTCCCTGTTGTAAGGAGGAGAGTCTGAGGGGAAAGTGCCAGAGGCCAAGGTGAACAGGGAGCCACATTCTGGGCTTGGCTCCAAAAGAGGCTTTCTTCCCTTCACAGTGAGGAACCCAAGGCACTGGAAGTCCAAGTCATTTGCCCAAGGTCACTGTCCAAGCAAGTTTTTCTCCTGGGGCAGCCCTGCATCCTCAGACTGGCAAAGTCCAAGGGCTCCCCCTGGTGGCCAAGTCTTCCTCCTTCGCCCTGGGTACTGGCCCTGGCCAGAGACATTGGATGCCTTCCTCCCTTCACCAGCCCCCCAACTTTTGCTCCGGGGTGAGGGGACCCCCCAGCCCAGCAACCCTAGCACCGGGACGCCTTTCAGACCACCGCACACCAGAGGAATTCGCCCACTTACTGCGCCTAGACCGGTCTCCTCTACTGTGGGAAGGAATGCTCTCCCTGGAATTATGTCATTTGTGCCTGTAACCGTCCCCCCAACAAAGGGAAGCCAGGAGTTCAGGGAGCAAGCAGTAAACGCCCATATGCGCCCGTGGGCTTCCATCCCGGAACCCCTCCAGCTGGGTTGCCTGGGGCAAGCGTGCTTACACTCAACATTTTTATGCTGACAACTTTGCTTAAAAAAAGGGACCAAGATTTTTCCAGCACAGGGACTGATAATAGCTAATATTTTTTGAGCATTTACTCACTTATCAGTTATCACTTACTCACTTATCAGGTCTAAGTGCCTTGTAACTCTCATCTTATTTAACTGTCCTGCCGCCACCCAACTCATCTCCCTACAGAAGCCAGGCCATGACACGCCCCAGCCTGGATCCCCTCCACTGGCTTCTCACCGTTATTAGGGAAAAAATCCAAACAGGTGAACTGAGAACATACGTGGCCAGTGGGAGGCATTCATGAAAAGTCAGGGAAATGGGGGACCCAGGCAGACAGAGAGCAGAGCCCCAGGACAAGGAACAGAAAGCGGGCAAGGGGAGGTGGAGCGGGAGGGGACGGGTCAGGGTCAGGCCGAGGAGGTAGAGGCCTAGGAAGGTTTCTTAACAGAGGAATAATGTCATCTGAATGGGCTTAAAAATTACTCTGTTGACTGGAGTATTTGGACATGAGGTGATGTGCTGTATGGGGTGCACGGGGGAGTGGGGGGCAGACACACTACAGTATTGCTGAAAATGGAAGATGGTTGCTGGGTTCATCACCTGTCATTCTCCTCTCTGTGTGTGCCTGGCAGTTTCCATAATAAAAAGTTAGAAGGAGAGAAAGGAAAGGAGAGGTAGAGTTTGATTTAAGTCTCTCAAGCGAAAGATCGCTCTGGTTGGAGAGTGAATTGGGGGCAGTGCACATGGGAGGCTGGGGGGCTGCTCCGCTGCCCCAGGGAGCCAAGACGCGGCTGGACCAGGGTGTGTTCACAGATGGAGAGACAGATGCCCATGAACCTGGGGACATGTTTTGGAAGCTGAGTCAGTGGGACTGCCACTGTTTCCTTACACACACCCCACATGCACAAAGTGGAAGCCAGGGTGACCCCTGAGTTTGTGTCTTGATGACCTGGGATGGCGATGATGTCATTTCCTGACTCTCAGTGCCTTACTCCTTGATTCATTTTATCCTTTCATCCATGACCCTGTGAGACAATGCCCTCCTTATCACCATCCCCCAGATCACAGAGGGGCAACTGAGGCTGGGGGCTTTAGTGAACCTGCCCAGTGTCACACAGCCAGTGGGGGGCAGAGCCCGATTTACCCCCAGGGATGTCACCCTGGTTTCCACGCTCTTGTATGAGGCTCAAGGACACGGGAGGACCGGGGCGGTGGGTGGTGGGCAGGAAATCAGGAGTCCTTCTGTGGATGTGTAAAGGCCGAGATGTCTGTTAGGCGTCAGGAGGATGTGGGATGCCAGTCTGAAGTTCAGAGAGGTCCCCATGGGGGAGGGAAATCAGGAGCCACCAGCGCAGAGATGGTCAGGGGCAGGAGAGGAGACCAGGCTGGCGCGGGAGCCCCCAGCTCTCAGAGGTCTCGCAGGGGAGAGAGAGAAAGCACATCTTCTTCCACCAAAAGAGGCTGAGAAAAGAGGCTGTTTCAAGAGGGAGCAGGGGACAACTGAGTCAGTCAGGAAGGAAAGGGACAGAGGAGGGACCGCTCGTCCCAGGATGTCCCAGGTGGCCTCATGAGGGTGGCCCCAGCCAAGTCCGGTGGCGGAGGGCTGAGGAAGGCAGGCAGGTGAGCACGTGGGCAGTGACCAAGGCAACCATCTCAACAGATTTTTGGGGGGATGAGGTGGAGCCCAGCAGTGGGTGGAGGTGGA